TTGTTTTATTTTGTTACGTTCTCAGTTCTTAATTGCATTGTTGGTTTTACAGTCCGTGGTTCATGTTTGGATTGATCTGCGAAAATTTCTTATGAATCTCAACAATTTGTTGTTACTATGCTCTTACTTCTTCGCTTTATCTTGAATTACTTTCTTATCTTGGTCTTGGTCTGGGCATGAATCCCCGCAGAGTTTTCTGACTTTTGTTGTTAAATTTGCTTCCTTTGCAGAGGAAATATAATGTTTGAAAAAAGAAATATCAAGACTCGGTTGTACTTATTTATTTATTATTATTTATTATTTAATTATTATTATTATTATTCATTTATTATTATTATATTAATTATTATTATTATTATTAATTATTTATTATATTATTATTTTATTATTATTCATTATTGTCTTACATTATTCCAGTACTACTTGTCGTATGTCAACCACACACAGGTATATTGACCAGGTTGGTGGTTGCTTTACTGAGGTTCAGAATGGCCTTCCTGACAATACGGCATGTAGAAATTCAATTATGTCTTTTGCATATTATATTACATTCCTGTATCAAGTGAAGCACTCAGAGCCGAAGTGTCATTTTCGGATCACCCCGTAGCTGATATTAATTATAGGCACTCGTTCACTTTACTGAGTTCCATTGAGTGCCATACTTCTCATAGCGAGATTGGTATATCTCTGGGATCTTCTCTGATATTGTATCCCGAATATGTTGTGGTAATGAGTTATTGATCATTATCGCATAAGGAAAACCTTGCTGTTGGTTTCTATCATAGTACTGTTATATCTATTTTATTATTATTAATTTTATTATTATTATTATTACTTTATTATTTTATCATATTAAAATATAATAATATAATGAATATAATATAATAATAATTATAAATTATTATAATAATAATGGCACGCAGTTGCGTAAAACCAAATGAATGTTACACTATTAGTATTGCTATATACGGGTACTATATAATCATCAAATCTCACTTTGGGATATGTCTGTGTTTCCAATTTGCAGAAACTTCCTTTATATTTCCGAGAAAATCTCTCTGGTCTGATTCAGTCGTCGATGTGAAACTATTGAGAAATTGTTGCTCCCAAATGATCGCGGCGTTGGCATTTATCGCAACCTGTCCCGCAAAGGGATAAGCAGAACTAGGGCACGAACGAGCCGGACTTCGCGTACAAGTGGCCGTAGAGGGGGGCCCAGGGATTTCACAAGTCCAATAGGCACTGGGACAGTATTCGCAAATAGACAACGTGGAGAATGCTCATCACTTGTTTCACTGATCGGCTCGACTATTCGTGTTTTTTCTCCGCTTTACACTTCCTGCCTCCATGTCCACGTGTCATACCTCGTCTGTTCATCCCCGAGCCACCTCCAAATCTATAATTAATGCT